ATGGAGATAGCATGATATATAATATGTGCAAATACAACGACATCTTTACATATTCATCTGTCGATGGCCAAGTCTTAGCTGGCAGGAGTTGTGCTGCGGAGCACTAGGGGGAGGAGCCTGCTGGAGGATCTGCCCTTAGGGCGCATTAGAAAGAAACAGTTCAGGAGGAAGGGTGAGATTGGGCTCTCTCACTTTCTGAGGTTTCAGTCCATGGTGGCTGACTCTGTCGCTTTGGGCCCAAGGCAGAGCAGCTCATCGAGGCAACATGTGCAGAGAAGCCTGCTGGCCTGTGATGGCCAGAAAGCAAGAAGGGAGAAAGGAAGGGGCCTGGTCCCCTTGCCCCACTCAAGGGCAGAACCACAGTGACCCTGCTGCCTCCCAGTAGGCCCCACCTTCCGATGTTCCCATCATCCCCAGCAGCACCGTGAGCTGGCCATCTGCCCTTTAGTACATGGCCTTTGGGGACATTAAGATGCAAATCATAAGGGAGAATGCAGGCAGGTCTGCTTTGGGTCATCTGTGCATTAATTTTGATTGATACTCATTTACTTATTTATGAGGTAAAATATGTTCTAGGTATACATAGGGTAATGTGTATAGAACAGTGAGCCCTTCACAGTAATTAGAATATCCATCATCTTCAGCTTTTATCACTTCCATATGTTACCTCAAGTATATGTATATATAATATACTACATATTATATAATTTATATACTATACACAAAATATATGAACTATATATTACACATATAATTATATAGTATATATAATATGTTATATATATTACAGGCATTCCTCATTTAATAAATTCCATTCCTGCAACTAGATTGTTGAACAAATTGGTCACTAATGAGGAATTGTGTATAGTCTGTGTGGCACAACATTGAACAAAGAAATGGGCCGAGGAAAGCCCAACTTGATGACCTTGCTTGTACTCTCACGCATCTTACATGCAGTGCTGTAATGGATGACAGAACAAACTACTGTCCTGTACAGTGCAATCAGCAAAAATTACAGGGCTGTAGAAATAAGGAGTACTCTGCAAAAGATGACATTGAGGCTCCATAAACAAGATGCACGGAACTGTCCGAAAAGAATGATGGGTCACAAATCTGAGCAGCTGGTCTTAAGTCCAAATGGTCACTAAACAGGTGCAGAAGATGGGTCATGTCCTGAGAAACTGGGCACTCAAACACCCAGCGAGGGAGAGCGCCTGTCCCAGTTAAAGTAGACCAGGGATTTACACTTTTCTGATTACAGAAGAAATTTGTCGGGGGGGGGGGGAGTGTTATGGTTTTTTGAGTTCATGGACTGCTCTCTTAACAGAACTTGGCATTTTGTTTTGTTTTGTTTTGTTTGCTAAACCCACCCATGGCTGAGCCCTGCTTGTGCAGGTTACTCTAGTGAGCATGCAGGTCTTCCCTGGCCAGACCAAAGTCCTGCCCCACTCTGTCCTGTCCATTTCTGCACGAGAGGACTGCATGAGAGATGGGAGGCCAGGCTGCACCCTAGATCAGCCCTGATGATTCCTGGGGTTGGGGCACAAACCATCTGTGAGCCAGAAGCTGTAGCCAGCTGCCTTCAGGAGTCCCTTTGGACTGCAGTGGCTTTTCATTCATCCTCTCATTAGCTCTCGTACTTCTGGTCACCCTTGCCCTTGAGCAGTGTGCCACCTGTCCCTCCCCCACTGAAATAGCCATGTTGTTGTTAAATTGTAGATGCATATTTTACTGGCCACCTCATCTAACAAATATCAAGGGTGGTGAGGATGAGGAGGAGGTTTTTTGGCAATCTGTCAACCCATCAAAATACAAAACAATAGAAACAACACTGCATGTCACTGTAATTCCAAGTAACACCCGGGGCACCAGCCCTTGCACATGGAAACAAGGGAGTGTTGGCCTTTGCAAATGCGTAGGCACCTTCGTTGGCACTCACTGTAGAACCATGAGAAAACTTAAGCGTGGCCTGAGAGCATCTGTAGGAAGGCAAACAGGAGGGTTGAATTCCTCCCTTTCCTCTCTCTGGCTCCAATCCTTACTTAATAACAAGAATGTCAGTGTCTAGCGCTGAAAGAAATAGCTGTTCTTTCTGAGAAGGTTCTCTTTGTTGCATATCAAGGGAGGCAGATCAACAACCAGTCCACAGGCAGCAGAACTGTTAGAAAGTTGGAAGTGAAATCCTTTGGCCATGTCACCTTGGTTCTACTGAGTGGGCAAAGAAGCTAGAACTCAACATGTGATACGGTGGTCCTTGTCTGTGTTCTGACAATGATTCGCCAGCACCAAACAGGCCACCTACAATTTAGCTCAATTCTCCCACGAACCACCTGGGGTTAGTGCAGAGTTAATGCACAGGTTAAAGGACAAAGTCCCCAACAAGACCCCACTTTCAGATGCCAGTCATAGGAAAGGTCCCTGGGCCATCCATATTTCTGACCTTCCTTAAAGGAGGTTTGTAACATGGAGTGTCCAAGTTCCTTCCTCTGTGTTGGGTGATTTGCTAGACCAACTTATGAGCCCAAGAAAGCGCCATGCTTTGACTAAAGTTTTATTATGAAGACCACAGCTCTCCAGGACCATCCAAGGAAGCAGCTAATAACTGGGGCCCCTGTCTCTCTGGGGTCCCCACTTTCTCAACATCCAAATGGTCCCCAACCAGTTTCTGTTGCTATGACAAAAGATCTGAGCCTGGGAACTTTGTAAGAAAAAGTGGTTCATTTTTGCTCTTTCCATGTTTGACACAGAGAGGAATTCACTTAGTTCTGCTTGGACTGCTTGTGTGCCTTTCCATTTAAAGATATTGGCCTTTCTTCAGTTCCAGAAAATCCTCAGCTACTGTGCCTCCAAATATTGTTTCTCTCCTATTTCTGTCCTTAGAATTCCTACAAAGACATTGGTGTTTTCATTCTTTGTTATCTCTTCAGACCATGCTTTTTGGTCATTTGATGCTACACTATGTTTGAAGGGGTATCTTCAAAAATGTTGTCCAGTCCTTTCTCTCTTCATTTAGTCTAATGTGAGGTCTATCTCATCCATTTCATGTTTGTTTTCAATGATTCTTTTTATTAAGTTCCATTCAGTACATTTTCACATTTACCAGTTCTTTTTTCATAACTGCCTTGTTCTTCTTCCATGGTGTTTTTTCTTTAACCCTTGTTTTGTCTTTCTCATTATTTCAGACATCTTCCTTCTTAAGATTGTCCAGAGACTATACCTGCATGCAGTCCCCGGGGCCCTGTGTCTCCCCTGTGCCGCACTCCAGCAGTCCTCATGAGAAAATTCCTTTCTGTGGCAGATAGCTTTTGTTACATCCAGTACGAGGTTTTCTTCTTGTCCTGTGAGGGTGGTCGGGCCTGAAAGAGCCCCCAGTGCTTTGCACTGCTCACATTTGCTCCGGTGTGGTTCTGCTCCGCTGTCTGTCTTCCGGGAGGTATCTGAGGTGAGATAGGCAGGTGAGGAGAACGAATACATTTAGAACTTGGCAGCCGCCTCGGAGAGTTGGTGTGTCTTCCCAGTATGGGGTACTGGCCTGAGTTGGTTCTCTTTGTCTCTTTGCCTCTTAAGAAGCATAGAATTGACAAACTCACTCTTCTGACTCAGGACCAAAAACCCAGGATTACAAGTATGAAAATCCAGTTCCAACAACCCCTGACAAGTGGCTAACTCCCTGGCTTCTGCAGCTGACAAGGCCGAGGTGGCACGTGCATGGCCTGGGCTCTGTATCACCAGTGTTTCTGTCAGGAAGAACTTTGTCTCCATCCTTCTCTTTCCTCTGACTCCTCTTTGCCCTCCTTAGACAGAATTCAGACATAGCCACAAGATCAGTGAGTCCTTCCAAATCACAGCTCTAAGCACATCCCCTTCAGAGCCTCACTTTGGGCCTCTGGTAGAAAGTCCGAATCACTGTGGCTGACTGTAGCTCATTCACGCCTTCAACTTTGTCTCTTCCTTGCATGTCCTCCAGTCCGTTCCAGCAGAACTACTGCCTTTTCCTCTCCTGCCCACCCTGAATTGTCCTCTCTCTGAAGCCCAGTGGCATTACCTATGACACTGGTCCACTGCATTTCTGTCCAGAGCGGTATCTAAGTGACTTGTGTGCATGTCTCACACTAGCGTGGGTCTCATGCCCTGCTGCGCATAATCTTCAGCTCATTCTTAAGTGGAAGTGGCTTTGGCGTTGCTTTAGGGCAATCAAAGGACGGTGAGGTGGCGGTGAGGTGCAGCACAAAGCAGGAGGTCCTGGTCCCCGTGGTGTCCCTCTCTGCCCCTTTTCTGGGGCTTCCAGTTGAGTTCCATTCATAACATCCTTCAGGATGCTCTCCTGGCTCGGCAGGACAGTGAACCCCATCGGGTACAACCACCTATTGATGACAACGTGTTACCTTCCAAATCCAATAGACACCTCTGCACAGTCCTCTACTGGCTTTGTGAGGTGCGCAACACAGATCTATTTGCTTGAAGACCTTCACTCCTTCTGGAGTGACCTCGGAGTGGGCAGAGCGGAGTGTGGAAAGCATTCATGCAAATTGGGGAACTCCCTCCTCCCACAGGAGTTGCTGTGTGTTGGACAGGCGTCTTTTCCACAACTCTGTTGAGCCCACTATAGCACCTGGCATATGCGAGCTACTCCAGGCCAGTTTTACATGAAGGAAGGAATGAGTTCATGTGTACATCTTTTGATCTCTTCTGACAGATTACAACAGCAGTGAATTAAAAACAGCCTGCCGGAAGCACGAGCTTTATGTGAGCTTCCAAGACCTGGGGTGGCAGGTGAGTTCTCGGGACAATGTGGGCGAAGGTGTTTCCCAGCAGCTCCTTCTTACCTGGACGGTGGTTGACAGCGGTCATCCAGGGCCCGAGCTTCAGGGCTGACAGTTCAGGCTGCAGAAGTCCCAGGAGCCTTTAGTCACTTGAGAGCGAGGCACTTTTATGGGGTCCCCAAGCCCCGAGATAGCTCAAATTGGTGCCCACATTCCCCAGTGCTCTGGCCTCCTTCTTTCAGAGCCCACCCAACATATATTTACTGGGTCATTTCAACAATTTTTTAAAAAATGTATTTAGAATAGGGTCTACAGAGTCTCACTACACAGATCAGACTCATAGTGATCCTGGTTTCAGCCTCCCAAGCACTGGGATTACAGGGCTGAGCCACCACGCCCAGTCTCAATCACTGGCTCACCACGCCCGGGGGCAGGGCTGGCACGGCACACTGGGGATCAAACCCCAGTCCCTGAAGTCCACTGAGCTATCTGGCTGGCCCTCTTTCAACAATTTTTGTTTTGAAACAGGGTTGGAAAAAGTAATCTAAATGTTGACTTCTTCAATAGCTATGAATTAGCCCACCCAAAGCAGCCAAAAGAGAGTGCGAAGGTTTTGCCTGTGGCTGAGGGCCACCACTTGTTTGTAGGCAAAGGAATGTAGCCACAGGCAGTGAATGCGCATTTCAGCGTGCAGGCGCCATTCTGTGCCAGCACTAGGGGCTCCTCAAGAGGGGCTTGTGGGTCCTGTTACAGACAATGCCTGGCTTACAAAGGCTTGACTTAGGCGTTGTCAACTTTATGATGATGTAAAGGTAGAAACTGCCTTCTGAATTTTGAACATTAATCTTTGTGGGCTGACAATCATGGTCCAGCCCTCTCTTACCATGCTGGGATCATGAGGGGAGAGGGCCCTTTAGTGTCCCATGCCACCCAGCTGGGCTGTCCTGTAGGTCATGTCTGCTAAGTGCATTGCTGAGGGACAGTGATGTAGTCTGCCGGAAGTCTCTGAGCACCTGCCCTTCAAGACAGCATCTGTGACGTTACAGGCCTAGCTGCAGGCAGCAGCTAGGGCCATGTGGGCCTGCCAGGTTCATACCCCAACTTTAGCCCTTTCCATGTGGGCTTGGACAAATGCCCAACCCTCCCCATCTGTCTCCTAACCTCTCTACACGCACACCGCTTTCTCCTGGGTTGGGCACAGATGGTGTGGGAGCGTGTGTTCATCTTTCCCTTCTGCTTTGAAATCAAGGACTGGATCATTGCGCCCAAGGGCTACGCTGCCAACTACTGTGATGGAGAATGCTCCTTCCCACTCAATGCGCACATGAATGCCACCAACCACGCCATCGTGCAGACCCTGGTGAGCCCTCAGATTTTTACGTGTAAGTGGGACAAAGCCCATGCCAGGTGTGCTCCTACCTGACAGTATGCTTCCCTTCTGGCACAGGTTCACCTTATGAATCCTGAGTACGTCCCCAAGCCCTGCTGTGCGCCAACTAAACTAAATGCCATCTCCGTTCTTTACTTTGATGACAACTCCAATGTCATCTTGAAAAAATACAGGAATATGGTGGTGAGAGCTTGTGGATGCCATTAACTTGAAACCAGTTGCTGGGAACATACAGTACACTGTGGAGTCCAGGATTACGCCTGCCTTAAAAAAAACGAAACCCTAAAATGAAGCGGCACAGCAGACGTGGGAGAAGACTTGGAGAGCATCTTCCGCTGGTGCCTTAGGAGCTGCGGGAGGAGGACTTCCAAAGGACCTACCTAGCTAATGGCTTGCTCGCTCCATACGTATGCGGGCTGCTGGTCTGTAGGGAGTACAGCTGGGCTGTGAGGTCTGGGAACCGCAGAAACAGAGCTCTGAGGCCCCTCTGCCCCCCAGATTAGCCTTAGCTTTAGATCTAGCCGTTTGTGTTGCTAGTGAAGTAGGAAAACTACTCTTGGAAGAGTGGAAGCATTCCTGGAGAAAGCACCGGCTGCTTGTGTAGTACCTGGAATAGCAGGTTTCAGAGATGGGAGGGGCCTCTATTCCCGGGGCCAGGAGTTCTTACAGGATCAGCAGCCTGGACCCCAACGGGCCTCTGCCAAGGTGCCTTCTGTCTCGTCTATTACATGTTCACGCTAGTTTCGTTGATGTGAAAAGTACTTAATTTCAGTCAAAACAAGAACTTCCTTTCCACACCTCCATCTCCCACCCCTTTTTGCTATAACTAAAAGTAGAGCCATGACTTTGGGGGGCCCGGTATGCGCAGGGCCGTCACTTTAGCCATGTCCCACCTGAAGGCGGCCCGCATTCCCCCACGGGCCCTCTGCAGGGCTTGTTACCCCCTGCAGCACTGGCTCTGGTACTTCAGCCACTCATTAGCGCGGTCACCGCCATCTACTGTCCAGCATCCAGCGCAGCACAATGAGGGCCCACAGGGAGACACCCCTGGGGCGGAGGGCGCCGCACCCCTAGAGCAGGTTCCCAGAAGTGAGCGTGCTGCTTATGGACTGAAATCACAATGTTCTCTCATAGAAAATGAAGATCCAGATTAAATCTTAGAATATTTCTAAAATGCCTTGTTCACAATCATGTACTGGGAAACCAATTCATACTAAACTGATTAAATAATACATTTATAATCTATAAGTGTTTGTACTTACAGCTTTTTTTGTAAATAGAAACTAATTTATTGTCTGTTTACTATCTGTTTTGCTATAACATTTAAGGAAAGACCAGACGTTTTTTTTAAAGGTTTATTTAGAAAGTATAGTGTAAACAAGTCGTACCACCTTGATCCGAAAGCAAGACCCAAGACCCACGATGCAAGCTGAAGCCACCAGAGCACGGGCCTTCCGGGCGAGCCGGGCTTTCGCACTGCTTGCCTGTGAACCACACATGATTAATAAAGGTGTCCTTTAAGGCAGAGGCTGGGAGACGCTTTGTTACCCGCTGCCACAGACAGCAGACTCGGTCTCGTTTATGAGCTTCCTACTACCAGCTGCACATGCCCAGTGTCCTGGGAGGGAGGGGGAGGCACTGGCCACGGCCTGGTTTCACAGTAAGCAACTCGATGACAGAGAGCATAGATACGCATCTTGGTCCTACAGGTGCTTGTGTCCGAGGGCACAGTGAAAACTGCTACTAACCAGGATGGCGTGAATACCCGCACAGCCCTCCAGCTTCAGTATTTGGTGCTGGTGTCCAATGAAGCCCACTGTTCATACATTATAAGGTTGACCTCGTGGAAGGCAGACAACATACAGCAAGCTGCTAAAAAGACTACTGAGAAGCAAGATGAGAATGTTCCGAGGGGTGCCAGTGTGGGGCTGCAGGTCCCTGGAATGCCAGGCGGAGGAGACTGGGCTGGTCCCACCACCCAGACAGCACATGCAACCACAATCTGTCGCACGCTGAGGGAATGTCAGGACCAGCCACCATTCTAGGGAAGACATCGGATCTTAATGAGCACACGGACGTGGGCTGCACGCTCATGCAGGGACTAATGAAATCTTGCCCTGTGAGCACCAGGCAGCAGGATTCTCTGACAGCAGCCAACGTGACAAGTGCCCCCACGAGGCAGGCCTCAGCAGCCACTGCTTTCCTTACGGCTGGCCACTCACGCTAAGAAGAGCCAATCGAAAATCCAGATCTTCTAGAGCGTGGGTTTTTGTTTTGAAATCTGCTCCAAGCTACAGACCATCTATGTCATTAATGGTCATTTATGACCTTCGGATTAGAGACATCAGTCCTGCTACAGGCCACCTTTTCAAGACTCCAGGACAGTTAGAAAACTAGGCTTTTGGATGACGCTTTTGCAGAATCACTTGGAAGTCAAACATTGTCCAGCAATTTGATTTCCCTTGACTCTATTTTAGTCTCAAAAGAAACCATTAATTTCATCAAGGGAGGTTAAAGGGATGGATCCCTCCGAAGAGACTCAGTTTGCACAGTGACCAAGAATTACACTTGACTTAGAAAAACTCAAGAATCCGCAGCGTGTGTTGGCTTAAACACACAAAGAAGTCACCACCAACTTAGTGCAGTTAGCTCTGTGAGCCACGCCAGGGGAACACGGAAGCACATGATGTCCCCCCTACACGCCGGCGCTGCGGGACGCGTGACCTCCAGCAGGGCCTCTATAGCTCATCTTTTGCCTGGCGCAGAACGAAGTGGTGTAAAGCCTCGAGGTCTCTACTGCCTCTGTGCTCGCTCACTTTTTTACCACCACGGAAGAGCAGTAACGTAGGGTAGCCTCGGACCTTTAAAAGAAACAGAAAAGGCTGAAAACTGTCTGAATCACACATGGATTCCTTATAGACAGTTGAGGGAAGGGCATCTCAGGGCTCATTTTTATAGGTGTATTTAGATGATACAAGGACCAGGTCAGAAAGCAAAGCCTTGGGAATTGTGTTCACTTCCTATCCACACTGCACTGAAGGTGAGTGTCACTGCAGTAACTTCGCCTGATCTTTAAATGCACACACCTTCAGACCGGGGACCTGGAGGTATGCACTCCGACCATGCCTTCTTCTTCTCCATAGACACACCGCCCTTTCTCATGTAAGAATTTTAAGGCACAGGCTGGGGAGATAGCTCAGTGGTTTAAGCGCCTGCCTGACAAGTGCAAAGAATCAGGTTCAATGCCTGGCCCCAGTCCACGTGTGCCATGCTGGCCACCAAAACCAGGAATGATGCCGCACATCTGTAATCCCAGCACTAGGGAGGCTGAAACAGGAGAGGATCACTATAAGGCCGAGCTGTGTAGAGACAGAGCCAAATAAAAAATTTAAAAAATCTATTTTAAGGCACAAAACACAACTGTTTCTACTCATGAGTAAATGGATCTATTACATCTCTTAATCTGATGCGACTCCAAGGTTGCACACAAGATACAGCTGGCCAGGACTCAGGAAGGGCTGGGATGAGTGAACTCCCGCTCGACTGCCCGCACATGTGTGTACCAGCTCTCCTGGGCTTCGATCACAGGACTAGGGCAGCAAACACAAACCACAGCCCTGCTAGGCTCCAAGACTGTGCCAGCAGTTCAGGCTGAAGCCAAGAGTGAAGCACAACTAAAAGGGCACAGACAGCGCTCTGCTGTGTCCATGCGGCCCACTCCCAGCCCGTGGGGACCCCCGCCCGCTGCCACCAGGGCCACCCACCGAGTACTTGCTGCACACATCCCGCTCCGCCGTACAGTCAACCTCGGCGATCTTGACCTCTGCCAAGCCAGGGAATTCCTTCTTGGAGAGCTCCTCCCAGGTGGGGGCCAGATTCTTACAGTGACCGCACCTGAGAACAGAACAGCGGAGCTATGCTGAGGGCGTTCACCCCCAAGCTTCCTTTCTTACAGGAGACAGTCAACAGCCATGCAGGAAGCCACAGAGCATCAGAGCTCCCTTGTGTGCTCCCTTACTGCTGCTCCCCTGTCCCTAACAAGGACTGGAAAGACACCCAAAGTGCACTTCTGGGGAGCCTGACAGGTGGCAGCTCAATTTTAAAATCAAGAGTGCCATGAACCTTTTAGGGTTGTCTGACATCTTCAAACTCCACAACTTCGTTTTCTGGGCACTCTGGTGACTTAGTGAGGCCATGACAACGGCTGGTGCAAGCCATCTCTCTACTCCTTGTTTGAATCTCATTCCCTTCTGGCCTCTCCCCTCTCAGAAGGGATCGTCTTTCTTCCCTGGCGATCTACTGAGCTCCAGAGAGCTGCGCTTGCTGGCTCTTTACCCCTGCCACTGTGGTTTCTCTTGTGGACCCGGGGTCAAACAAGTGCACAAGCAAAAGGGACACAGGAGGACCTTGCTTGGGCCTGTGTCTGGGAGGAATCTCGAACTCTCCTAAATACTCTACTTGTCCTTGTGATGACAGAGCAGTTTCCATGTCACAGCTGAGGATGAAGCTGAGGGACTCAGAGGACATCTGAGGTCACAGAAGGTGCGATGGAAAACCAGACTACCGGGCTGGCCACCGTGCAACCGCTCCCGTCACCTCTGGTGCACTTCTCCCGCTGTTCTTGCCGTTATCCAAAGCAGTTCCAAAGTCCTCTTCTGTGAGTGTCTGCAGTTGCACTGACCTAACTGCTCAATGTCCTGAATCAGTTCAAAATGTTTCCCTCACACGGTCACTTTGACCTTGGGAAAAGGCCAGACAGTGCACAGGGCCGGTCCGGCAGAGGCGGACACAGCAGTCTGCCTTTCCTTGGGATGGACCTTGGCGGCAGCACTCGTAGTACTGTCACATCTCACCAAGGCACCCGCGAAGGACAACTTCCAGAACTGCTCAGAAATGAGCAAGAGTGACAGGAGGACAAATGTGTGAAGTCAGAAATATTCAGAGGGAGTTAATGGCCATGGGTCTCTTACTGTAAGACATTTTTTTTTTAAATTTAAACATTCAATGTATTTTCTGATCACTGCTTGTCGTGTAGAGCAAGCCTTAGAACTGTCATCTCCCAACGTCATCCATCCGTCTTGGTGTCAAGTGATCTTACTTCATTCACCTTCTGGTCCCCAGGGACCACGTGGCAGGAAGGGTCTGGTAAAGGGGTCACGCATTCAGTGTCTAACAGAAAGCTGAGCTCTACTGGGTTTCTGTGTAACATTATTCCTAAGAAACTCAGGAGCTGAGCTACATCATGTTCATTATTTAATGAAAATCTACTTGGAAAAGTACCCAGAAACCGGAAGACTTAAGCTTGCTTCCTCTAAAGCAGACTGAGTTTTAAGTTAACCTCATTCATTCTCGATAAATAATCCGAAGGGCCGTGGAACGGGAACCTAGAACACCGGGGTGTGACCACAGTGTTCCTCCTCTGCTGGGTGAAGGTGGCATCGACCAATGACACACTGCAGAGTGGACTACGGAGTTGGAAACGTGCCAGGGCGAACGCACCACAACCGCACAGCTTCTGCGGTAGCAGCCACTCACCATGGGGCGTAGAACTTGATGAAGGTTATTCCTTCTGCAATGGTGTCGTCGAAGTTCTTTTCTGTGAGGGCCAACACAGTGCTCTGTGGGACAGAAATAGGGAATCGGGATTTTCTTTACCATGCTGTTATGCATGTTCCCGCACCACACGCGCACACACAGACGCATGCACCCACGCACAGGCGCCTGCCGTCTGATGCAGCCGGCCAAAACCTGACCCCAGCCACGTCAGCCCTGGAGGCTGCAGCGCAGCGTGGAGCCTGAGCTGCCCAGAACCTCTTCACCCACCGCTTGTCCCTCTCCGCTCGGGCAGCAGTGAACATTCACCTTCTCTGCCTAACAGGAAGAACCTAGGTGCAGCGTCCACTTCACCACCCCAATTCCACATAGAGCAGACTGCTTTCCAGGCTGCGTGTAAAGGAAATGTGCGGAGACCTGGCCCGGGAGCTTCCGGGGACGGCCGCCGTGTGCTTGACTTTGAACAATTCCAGCCCGGCTGTTCTTCGCAGACTTACGTCTGCATGTTTCCGTTAGGTGGCTATGTACCGTGTGGCAAGGATTCTGAGGCCAGGCAGGGCCATCTCGGAACACTACTATCCTGTCTTGAGATGCCGCGACGCTCACACGAGGCCCAGGCAGTGGTGGGAAACTTCTTACAAACAGCTCTGTGGTGACGCCTCCAGAGCACATAATTAGGCCAATGTGGGGTGACCTTTACAGTGCCCAGCACACACACACACACACACACGCTCCGCTGATAGATACGTCATGGGGATACACACAATCCTTTACTTCAACCCAAACCCCAGCTTCCACTAACACCAGGGCTGTCCCTAACAGTGAGGCCATCGTAGGGGGCAGGTGGCTTTGTCGCTTCTCTAACTGCAAACCACCAGGGGCTCTGGGGGAGGGACAGCTCCAGTGAGTCAGGTCCTACCATGTACATGCCACCAAAGGACCACGGTCATCCAGTCGCCACTTCAGCCTGCGGACCCCACTGTCCTGGCTGCGAGCATGACATGTCACGTGGGGTGGAAGCAGCCGTGTAAGAGCACTCGTCCACTGGTGGCCACCGCGACTGGAGCCAGGAGCCCGCATGCATGAGGACACCAGACCCACGGACACTCAAGCCCCTCGCGTGCGGCACATCGTCTCTCTGCCAAGCATATGCACGCCTGCCTGGACACTTCAGTCTTCTCTGGCTGACTTCTAATGCCTTGTACAGCAGAAACACTACACCCCTAGCGCTGTACTATTCAGGGAACATCTAGAAAACCTTTTAAAGGCGGTTTCCAGCTGTAGTTGCTTGAACCTGTGGGTACAGGGGGCCGGCTGAACCGAGCTCTGCGCATGATGAGCAGCAGTCCTTTCTCAAACACACACACCGACTCCCCCCGAAGATGCTTGGGTGTCCCTCCTCCTGCTCTGGTCCTACTTTCTACTCGGTCCTGTCACACACCAGCTGCACCAGGCTCTGAGTCACCTCTCTGCTCTGTCCTGCGGTCGCACCCCGAGCTTGGGAACTCGCTGTCTCTGAGGGTCCATCTAGCAGCTCATCATTCCACACCTGCAGCTGTGGGTCGTCCTGCTGCCTCACATCTGCGCAATCCCTAGGGGGCTCCCAGCCTCGGGGTGGAGCTTCCCAGCTCAGCTGGCCTACCACACCACTCTTCAGCTGCAGCTCCCCACTCTGCACCCCTCACCAGCACCTTCCCCATTCCCTCCAGCCCTGCCCCAAACACACAGCTGGTTCACAAGGCCACATCTGGGCTCTGTGCCTCCACCTGGTGGCTCCCCGAGTCTTGTGTCCTAGGGGCCCCACTCCAATACACGCTTGTCATAGCCTCAGGATACAGGCTTGTATGTGTTCTCTCCTTTGCCCCTACAGACCAGCCTCCTTCCCAGTTAGGAAAATCTTGGTAGCCTAGGATGGTGTCTGAAGCCTAACGGAGGCTTGAGGAACACAGAACAGACATCCAAAGCCTGACAGGAGCATCGGGGCCACTGAAGCGAGTCCACCCAGTTCCAGCCTAAGCCTCTCGGTCCTCCCACACCACCACCCTGCTGATCTCCCGGGACTCAAGACAAGTTCTAGAAGTGACTAGAAATAGCCCAAGGGACAGTAGCCAAGACTTCTTAGCCAATAGCCTGCACTGGGTAGAACAGGGTCTTGAGCCTTCTCAACATCTGCTACTCTCAGGATCACTCCATTTCTCTCGCACTCAAAGCTCCTATGGAGCTCATCAGACTTGAACATAAGGTTTCATGTTGACAGTCCCTATCCCTGCCCCTGCCCCTGTGTTTGAGGAGAAGGCGCCTTCTGCCCACCCCAGCCTGCAGCTGTGGACTCACCTTGTCTCCCACTGGCTCCGCAGCCAGCACCGGGGCCTCTGAGGGCTCCACGGTCTCAGGGGCTCCTGTCTCTGGACCTTGCAGCTG